CTGCTACGGTACAAGACATACCGTGACTGCTACTGTACAAGACAACATACCGTGACTGTTACGGTACAAGACAACATACCGTGACTGCTACAGTACAAGACAATATACCGTAACTGCTACAGTACAAGACAATATACCGTAACTGCTACGGTACAAGACAATATACAGTGACTGCTACGGTACAAGACGATACACCGTGACTGCTACGGTACAAGACAACATACCGTGACTGCTACAGTACAAGACATACCATGACTGCTACAGTTCAAGACAATATACTGTGACTGCTACAGTACAAGACAATATATCGTGACTGATGCAGTAAAAGACAATATACCGTGACTGCTACAGTACAAGACAATATACCGTGACTGCTACAGTACAAGACAATATACCGTCATTGCTACAGTACAAGACATACCGTGACTGCTACGGTACAAGACAATATACCGTGACTGCTACAGTACAAGGCAATATACCGTGACTGCTACGGTACAAGACAATATACCGTGACTGCTACGGTACAAGACAATATACCGTGACTGCTACGGTACAAGACAATATACCGTGACTGCTACGGTACAAGACAATATACCGTGACTGCTACGGTACAAGACAATATACCGTGACTGCTACAGTACAAGACAATATACCGTGACTGCTACAGTACAAGACAATATACCGTGACTGCTACAGTACAAGACAATATACTGTGACTGCTACAGTACAAGACAATATACCGTGACTGATGCAGTAAAAGACAATATACCGTGACTGCTACAGTACAAGACAATATACCGTGACTGCTACAGTACAAGACAATATACCGTCATTGCTACAGTACAAGACATACCGTGACTGCTACGGTACAAGACAATATACCGTGACTGCTACGGTACAAGACAATATACCGTGACTGCTACAGTCCAAGACAATATACCGTGACTGCTACAGTACAAGGCAATATACCGTGAATGCTACGGTACAAGACAATATACCGTGACTGCTACGGTACAAGACAATATACCGTGACTGCTACAGTACAAGACAATATACCGTGACTGCTACAGTACAAGACAATATACCGTGACTGCTACAGTATAAGACAATATACCGTGACTGCTACAGTACAAGACACTATACCGTGACTGCTACAGTACAAGACAATATACCGTGACTGCTACAGTACAAGACAATATACCGTGACTGCTACGGTACAAGACAATATACAGTGACTGCTACAGTACAAGACAATATACCGTGACTGCTACGGTACAAGACAATATACCGTGACTGCTACGGTACAAGACAATATACCGTGACTGCTACAGTACAAGACAAAATACCGTGACTGCTACAGTACAAGACAATATACCGTGACTGCTACGGTACAAGACAATATACCGTGACTGCTACAGTACAAGACAAAATACCGTGACTGCTACAGTACAAGACAATATACCGTGACTGCTACGGTACAAGACAATATACCGTGACTGCTACAGTACAAGACAAAATACCGTGACTGCTACAGTACAAGACAATATACCGTGACTGCTACGGTACAAGACAATATACCGTGACTGCTACAGTACAAGACAAAATACCGTGACTGCTACAGTACAAGACAAAATACCGTGACTGCTACAGTACAAGACAAAATACCGTGACTGCTACAGTACAAGACAATATACCGTGACTGAAATAATACTCAAATTACCCAAAATTTAAAGAAGAAAGTGCATCGAGAGTCTCAGTTGTGCCATTACCGAGTAACTAACAAGATCCCAGTGTAGCTGATGTTGTGATGGTGTAGCTGATGTTGTGATGGTGTAGCTGATGTTGTGATGGTGTAGCTGATGTTGTGATGGTGTAGCTGATGTTGTGATGGTGTAGCTGATGTTGTGATGGTGTAGCTGATGTTGTGGTGGTGTGTGTAGCCTGGAGAGTCGAGTTTCTTTCATTTAGGACAGGTGGACAGGTTCGCTCGTAAAACCTCCTGGAAGTCTCTGCTAAGTTCTTCGGATCATTTCCTGTCACTGCTACTACACTGATGTTTGTTTGTTTTTCTTTCGTTTGGTTCTATTTTGGTTTAAGCTTTGGATTCACTCTGGGCTCAGTCTTGTTCATATAATTCTTCTCCACTTATTTTTCTTCCGATTTTAATGCATTCATTATGGGCACTTCAACTCAGTTCTCTATTTCCCTCTGTTACTCTTTCATACTCTGTTGCCTCTTCGTTCGTGGATTTTTCTCCTCTGTCTTATTTGTGTAGCCAACAGCAGTATTTTTTAACTTTCATCGCTCAACATTATATACTGGAAGACATGCATGGCTCGCTACTGGCATGCTTCTGTACATTACAGTTTTTCATGATCACGTGAGTCAGTCTTCATTAGGCTCCGTGTTTGACAGTATCTGGGTTATTGACTCCATAAAATCATAGTACTTTCCTCTTGTGTGACTTCTGTTAGCTTCCTGTGACACGTCTCTCATCCTTCAGTCGTAACTAAATCACAAATCTGAATGTATGGATTAAATTAAGTGGCTTCAGCCTCCTTATGGGGACTCACAGTGATTTAAAGCCTCGTTCTGGGTGATGCCTGAAAAAACAAATCGGATAGTTAGGATTTTTTCCACACTTTTAGTTGTATTGAGAGTTTTTGTCCATTGGTTTTACTATATTTAAAATATATTGAATATACCAGAGTTATTGGGAATGTATTTCACTTGTACGCCAACCTAATAGGAATTAAACTGTGTACGAATATATAAAACGAGAAATATAAATCTCTCGGTGCAAATGTCGTGTCGAATAAAATATATCGGTCAATAAGGCTGAGCTGCCATAAATATATATTGTTTCTAAAATAATGTCTTAGGCGTTTATTGATATATATTTCACTTAAAACGGTGAAGCAAACTAACTTTAATACCTCACCTGACCTTCCTGAACGAAATATAATGTCATTAATTTCAGTGGTTGATGTTCCTTGAGGTTTGACGGATTTTCGTGGATTAAATAAGTTTTTTTTCACTGGCCTTATTCGGTCAAATAACCGACGTTATTTAAGCCAAGATCACGGACCAGATCACGGACCAGTGTTATGCGACAGTGTGTCCTTGTGTATTTATTTGTATATAAGATTGAAAGCCTATCTACTACACAAGAGTTGTGGAAAATATTGTATATTTTCCGAAATACAGCGTATTTTTGCATGTAAATTAATAAAATACATTGTTGTTGGTTAAAATTAATTTGGAAATTAAAATGGAACCAGCGAATTTGTAGCGTCGCCGGGGGGGGGGGGTGACGCCATATTGAAATAGGAGGGACGAGACGATAGTGAACTCAGGAGAAATTATTTCGTAGCTCTGGAGGTTAAATGTGGTATAAACCTCTCAAATAGGAGCAAGAATAATCAGAGTTACAATCCTGTCGAATGTGAGAGACCAACGACTTGGCAGGATTTAGAAGTTAAATGTTAAAAGGGATAATAAGGAACCATCAATACCCACAGCTAAGTACTGCATTATATGTTGAAATTCTGGCCAGTAGTTTCCTCATATCTAGGCAGGATTTGTGGGTGACATAGCTGCACCAAGTGATCTCCAGACAAATTTGGCGAGTGTTGGCAACATAAAATTTTCTCCTATGATGTATAAATACATACATATATTTATTATTCACGTCAATTTAACATACAGTCCACATAATTTATGTAAATATTACTACCAAAATTATTGATTATTTTTATTAAATTTGAAGTTAATAGAGGTCCAGAGTAACTTATGGGGTGTACGAGGTTAGTGGGCATCGAAGGGAGACATTCTCTAGGCGTCCTAAGGTGTCTCAAAATTCCTACATGCCTCGGTAGCAATTGGCAAGAAATAATTATCTTTATTACAAATTACTGGTATGTATTTACTGAGGCTCATACAGGTAATTAATATACCACAAGAGTCATGATGGCTACATGTCTCCTGTACACGGGTAGTCAAGATACTGGATTTCCAAATCGTAAACCTAAGGTGAACTCTTAAGTGTATAAAGAAGAGATGTATATACATCAAGTGTATACACGCTGCTGCTACCTCTCAATGTATACACATAAAAGTATGTATACTTCACAGAATATATACATAGAGGGCAAGCAAATACTAATCAATTAATATTGAAATTTTCAGTGATATATTTAATCTGCAAAACCTATGCAAAATATGTCTTAATAATTTAAGACTTTTTAAATAGACTTACTTTTGTTTCCTCTAATCAAAAATATCCAGGTCGCTGTGTATCACATTTTCTTTCAGTTTATCTGGCTCATTACTAATAATATTAATCTGAGTGTAATTTGGCCGCTGGTGTGTAGTGGCAATCACAGCCTACAAGAAACGTACATTTTCCAGATTTTAAGCAAATTTCTCCACTTTGTTTAGGTTTGGTTAAGTTAGACTGTCGTTTCTTATCAAAAGTTCACCAAGGATAACACAGAACAATGTCCATAATTACGTGGTACTTAATAGGTTATTGAAACAGAAGAACCACTGAGCACATTTAAAACAGTCACGTTTGCGTGCCACTGTCTGCCATGTACTTTACGTTCTTAGCAAAAGTAATGTACCGAAAGCTGATTAGGAGGATGGGATGGGATGTACATTATAGGCATGTACAAAGATCTGGTGTACTTTTGTTCAGTAAACTTCAAAGACTTCATATTCAGAATGATTATGTAGAAATGCAACACTTAGAAATTAGAATTATTCAATACTTATGACGACCAAAAATGTATATTTTATCTCCCTGGCTTACCTACGTGTCGACCTCTGGCTGTGTTTACACCTGGCTTACCTACGTGGCGACCTCTGGCTCTGTGTACACCTGGCTTACCTACGTGTCGACATCTGGCTGTGTGTACGCCTGGCTTACCTGCATGTCGACCTCTGGTTCCTGGGCCGCCGTGTGCGTGTCCCTGACGTTGTGTTGTGGCTTGGTTCAGGTGGGTTACAGCGGGTGCTCGTGTGCGGACCTGGCCGCCCTGGCTGCTCAGATCACTATCTTCGAGGATGATGTGAAAACCATCGTTGAGATGGAGAACAAACTTACACTTATCGCTACGGCCATCAAGCAACTCGGCATCTGGGTGGACTCAGGTTAGCCTGCCTTCCTACCCTGCCTTCCATCCTATCTGCCTTCCTTCCTACCCTGCCTTCCATCCTATCTGCCTTCCTACCCTGCCTTCCATCCTATCTGCCTGCCTACCCTGCCATCCATCCTATCTGCCTTCCTACCCTGCCTTCCATCCTATCTGCCTGCCTACCCTGCCTTCCATCCTATCTGCCTGCATACCCTGCCTTCCATCCTATCTGCATGCCTACCCTGCCTTCCATCCTATCTGCATGCCTACCCTGCCTTCCATCCTATCTGCCTGCCTACCCTGCCTTCCATCCTATCTGCATGCCTACCCTGCCTTCCATCCTATCTGCCTGCCTACCCTGCCTTCCATCCTATCTGCCTTCCTACCCTGCCTTCCATCCTATCTGCCTGCCTACCCTGCCTTCCATCCTATCTGCCTTCCTACCCTGTCTTCCATCCTATCTACATCCCTACCCTGCCTTCCATCCTATCTGCCTTCCTACCCTGCCTTCCATCCTATCTGCCTGCATACCCTGCCTTCCATCCTATCTGCCTGCATACCCTGCCTTCCATCCTATCTGCATGCCTACCCTGCCTTCCATCCTATCTGCATGCCTACCCTGCCTTCCATCCTATCTGCCTGCCTACCCTGCCTTCCATCCTATCTGCATGCCTACCCTGCCTTCCATCCTATCTGCCTGCCTACCCTGCCTTCCATCCTATCTGCCTGCCTACCCTGCCTTCCATCCTATCTGCATGCCTACCCTGCCTTCCATCCTATCTGCATGCCTACCCTGCCTTCCATCCTATCTGCATGTCTACCCTGCCTTCCATCCTATCTGCCTGCCTACCCTGCCTTCCATCCTATCTGCCTTCCTACCCTGCCTTCCATCCTATCTGCCTTCCTACCGTGCCTTCCATCCTATCTGCCTTCCATCCTATCTACCTTCCTTCCTACCCTGCCTTCCATCCTATCTGCCTTCCTACCTTGCCTTCCATCCTATATGCCTTTCCTCCTATCTGCCTTCCTACCCTGCCTTCCATCCTATCTGCCTTCCTACCCTGCCTTCCATCCTATCTGCCTTCCATCCTATCTACCTTCCTTCCTACCCTGCCTTCCATCCTATCTACCTTCCTTCCTACCCTGCCTTCCATCCTATCTGCCTTCCTACCCTGCCTTCCATCCTATCTGCCTTCCTACCCTGCCTTCCATCCTATCTGCCTTCCATCCTATCTACCTTCCTTCCTACCCTGCCTTCCATCCTATCTGCCTTCCTACCCTGCCTTCCATCCTATCTGCCTTCCTACCCTGCCTTCCATCCTATCTGCCTTCCATCCTATCTACCTTCCTTCCTACCCTGCCTTCCATCCCTGCCCAATTTTACTTTAAACTATATTGATCAAACTTATTGTAAACTTCTTTTATTGACCATTTTTATTCTATACTTTTTTAAACTAGTATTTTCAACTACAACTTTTATATTATCCTGTCTACCATCTTACTAGCATATTATAACCAAGTTATTGCCATTTTTATTTTTATCATTTTTTTTATTATTCTTTTGCTACCTTAACTTGTGTATTTTATCCTGTCAATTTAAATCTAGTTATACTCTAATTCTTGTAAACAACTTATATAAGACCTTGGTGCAATTACAATTGAGAGTCTTGTGCCTTTTTTATATTATTGGATTAAACACAGTTGTACTATAGTCAATACCAAATTCATTATATTAGACCATATTGCAATTACTAGTGAAAGTCTGGTGCTATTTTTAATTTGTATTTTTATATTATTAGATTAAACCTAGTTGTACTATAGCTCATTCTAGCTCAAAACATAGACTCCACAAAAGTCATTATTAGACCTTAGTGCAATTACAAGTGAGAGTCTTGTTCTATTTTTAATTTGTATTTTTATATTACTAGTTTATACCTAGTTGTACTTTAGTTCATTCCAGCACAACACATAGACAACATCAACTTCATTATGTGTAGTAGTGACTATACTCTACATGACCAAAATACTCTAGCTATATACTTGTCCAAACTTCCTACCACTACAGATATCAGTACTAGAACTCAACACACAACTCAGGATATAAATAACCATAATTTAAACCTAGAAGATGATTGATCACGTTGACCCTGATCTAAACCTCCATAATCTGACACCCAATCAAAACCTATTGGAAAGTAACTGCCTTTATTACACAGCATCACAAGCCAGCACTATCCTAAACAATGCTAAAAGTCTATCAGTACTTAACTACAACATCAGGTCCTTAAGCAAACACTATGATGACCTCCTAGCACTCCTTGAATCACTAAAGACACCTTCTCCTGCATTATTCTTACTGAAACCTGGCTTAAGCAGGACACAATAGATATCTACCCTCTACCAGGATACACAGCAATTCACAACTGCAGACCAAACCAAGTTGGGGGTGGTATTGCAATCTATTACTCTAACCAATTATCTTGTCTTAGCACCACTTGCTTTAGTGATGAATATGGGGAATACATTTTTGCTAATTTTACTGTAAAAAACCTTAAGACACCTATAACAATCGGTGCCATTTACCGGATACCTCACACAAACATCCCAAATTTCAGTGAGAAATTAAAGTCACTAATAAACAGACAAATGAATAAGCACCACCTTCTCTTAGCTGGAGACTTCAACATCAACCTTGGCTTACTAGATGGTCAGCCTGTAACTGATTTCATCAACAATATGAACAATACACTTCTCATACCAACAATAACTAAACCAACCAGGCTCACTGAGACAAGTGCAACCATAATAGACCACATATGGACCAATATACTAGCCCCCCTTAAATCAGGGATAATCACAGATAGCACTACAGACCACTACCCTACCTTCCTCCTGACAAACATTAATAAACCACCACTTGAATACAACAAAGTCTCATTTAGACTCCATGACGAGGCCTCAATAAGGAAGTTCACAGCTGACCTAGAGACTGTTGACTGGCCTACAAAATTCTCCAAGGCCAATGGTATTGATGACTGGACAGACATTTTTCTTAACAAATTACTTAGACTATACAACAAACATTGTCCTATAAAAAACGAAACAGATCACAAACAAACGGCTTGGTTGCCCATGGCTAACCAGCACCATTCTGAAATCCATTGACAAGAAACACCAATATGAAAAGCAATATAGACAGGGCTTAATACACAAAGATATTCTTAAACACTATTCATCAGTTCTCACCAAAGTAATAAAGAAAGCCAAACAACTATACTACTCCAGTAGATTCACAGACACTAGAGGAGATATAAAAAAGACCTGGAAAACACACTCTCACATTCTAGGGACCCACAAACTAAAAAAAAACAAGAATATTGTCCTAACTAAACCTAATAAAACACCACTACATCCCACTGACACAGCTAACAAGATAAACGACTTCTTCTCAACCATAGGATCTAATCTCGCCAATAAAATCCCACATACCAATGCCCATGCCGGGGACTACCTAGATGGGAATTTCCCAAATTCCTTCTATCTTGCACCAACTGAGCCCTCACAAGTCACCGAGATTATAAAGTCACTTAAAAATAACTCAGGGAATCTGTCTCATGTCCCACCATTACTGTACAAGCGAGCGGCCCATATCCGTTCTCATGCTATTTCATTACTTTTTAACAAGTCACTAGAAACTAGCACCTTCCCGAAACTACTCAAGATGGCAAGGGTTACACCAATACATAAAGGTGGTGACCCTACAGACTTAAACAACTATAGGCCAATATCAAACTTACCATTGCTATCCAAAATCTTTGAGAAACTCGTGCACAGGAGACTATATTCATTTATAACAGCACAAAACATACTCAACCCCTGCCGATTTGGATTCAGGAAAAATAAAAGCACTAATGATGCAATCATAAAAATGCTAGATCTGCTTTACACAGCATTGGAAAAAAGGAATATCCACTAGGAATTTTTATTGACCTAAGAAAAGCTTTTGACACAGTAGACCACGACATCCTACTCCACAAACTTGACCATTACGGTATAAGAGGCCATGCGCTTGCTTATTTCAAATCTTACCTTACTAAGAGGTATCAGTATGTCACCATTAATGACACAGCATCAACAACACGGCCACTTGATACTGAAGTTCCGCAGGGAAGTGTCCTTGGTCCCCTGCTCTTCCTCATATACATCAATGATCTTCCAAACGTATCCCAACACCTGAAACCCATTCTCTTTGCTGACGACACGACTTATGTCATCTCTCACCCTAATCTTGCCACCCTCAACACCATTGTTAACGAGGAGCTGATCAAAATATCGACTTGGATGACAGCCAATAAACTTACGCTTAACACTGACAAAACCTACTATATTATGTTTGGTAGCAGAGCAGGAGATGCACAAATTAACATTAAGATCGACAACACTCTAATTACCAGACATAATGAGGGCAAATTCCTAGGCCTATACCTTGACAACAACCTGAATTTCAGCACCCATATCCAACACATAACCAAACAAGTATCCAAAACGGTTGGGATCCTCTCCAAGATATGATACTACATGCCGCAAAATGCCCTTCTCACACTATACCACTCGCTTATTTATCCATACCTCACCTATGCTATTTGTGCTTGGGGATCAACTGCAGCAACACACCTAAAACCAATAATAACCCAACAAAAAGCTGCAGTAAGAATAATCACTAAATCCCATCCCTAGCCCACCCACCCCCCACTCTTCATAGATCTAAACTTACTCCCTGTTCAGTACATCCACACTTACTACTGTGCATTCTACATCTACAGGACCTTAAACTCCAATATCAACCTTGACCTAAAATGCTTTCTTGATAGTTGTGACAGAACCCACAGGCATAACACCAGACACAAACATCTCTACGACATTCCCGTGTCCGACTAAACCTTTACAAAAATTCAATGTATGTCAAAGGCCCTAAAATCTGGAACACCCTACCTGAGAACTCTAGAACTGCAGACA